ATTATACAAGGTGTCCCTGAACTTTTGGCATAAATTTAGTAGAAAAGATTGAGCAAGTCAAAATAAGACGAAAACCTAAATAAATATTTTTTCTAATTACTTATGTTTCCAAGATACAGGGTGATAAAGTTTGACTTAATATTTCAGTTATTTTAATATACATTCTACTATGGTAGACTTGGAAAGGTGATATCTTAAGAACATCCACTCACTACCAATACACATATTTAACTTTAAGGTTAGGTTTTTATAACATTTGATGCAATTTTTCGATTACTCAGTTCGGCTACTATTAAAAAGGTGTGTACCTTTTAAACTTCGATAAAATAAAAACCGTTTCCGAGATATTTAAGATTAAAATAATTGTTATATCGCATTAAAGGATTAAAAGGTATATGATAACAATTTTTATTTTTTAATTGAAAAAACTAAAACCAAATAAACTTCTCATTGTTTATTGGGCGACCGAGAAAAATTAATTTAAGGCAGGTTTAATAAAAATGTAGCAACAGTTTTGCAAAACTGCAATATTCTATCTAGCACTGTACACTAGGGTGTCCTTTATTTACCAACTTGTTTATTTTGTTCTTAGCGCCCCCTAAATTTTTAGTTTATGACCTAAAAAAAATTATTAAAAAATTATTAAAAAAAATATTGACATTAAACCTTGCCACAAAGACGATACATTTTCCATTTAAATAACCTGGGGATTCGGAAGTTTTACATTTATTTTTTTTTCTCCCGAACAAGTTAATATATTTTAAGAATTAATATATATTTATGTGGTCAAAGTACTAAATTATACTTTAGTGCGCATGCCTAACTACAAATTTTATTTTTTCGTAAAAATAATTGTTAAAAGAATTTCTACGTCATTAGCTACAGCAGAAGGAAAATTTTTTATTGCATTATATTTTATAAAATCGTATAAAATTTTGTAAAATTTCACAGAAATAAAAAGATTATGTAAAAAAAGTAATCGTACTAAATTTGAGTAAAACAAGTATCTTCAAGATTATTTAATATAATAAAAAAAAATTAATTTATCGGAATCTCTTGTCAATAATTTTTACTTTTTTAATAATACAATAAAATCATATATTTTCAAAAATTAACAATTTATTTTCAATAAAATAATGATAATTTTGCAGGCAATGTAAAAAATCGAAAAAAAATTACTATAAGTTTAATTTTAACCTTAAATAACGTTTATAAACCAGTAAATTTATCGAAAAATCATAGGAGAGCTTTTTTGTACAGCGTTCAATTTTCTATAAAAATATGTGTCTCTTATTGATGTATATTAACTTGCTCGGGAGAAAAAAATTTAAATGTAAAACTTGCCGAAACCCCATGTTATTTAAATGGAAAATGTATCGTCTTTGTGGCACGGTTTAATATGAATATTTTTTTTTATAATTTTTTTAATAATTTTTTTAGGTCATAAACTATAAATTTAGGGGGCGCTGCAAACAAAAAAAACTAAGTTTGTAAATAACGGACACCCTACTGTCCACTACTAAAGGTTAGCATGCCTTCTCCTAGCAGATATTTTTCTAATTACACAGTGCAACAGTGCAAAAGGGAATGAAATGAAACCAAAAGCAAATGAAAGGTAATAACTTCTACAACAAAACCCCTACTTATAGTAGGAAAAAAAGATGTAAAATAATTTTAATTTTTTCTGGCAATATAGTCGATGAATCCATTCCAAGTAAAGAGCATTTTTACTAGAAAATTTGGCATTTTTATAAAAAAAATATTCTCTTTAATGTTCTATCAAAAAACATACTTAAATTTATTTATACTTAAAAACAATACTTGTATACAAAAACTACAATTTTTTGTGGTAATATATTGTAATATCGATGACTTTCTGCCAAAGGATCACATGCAACATAACAAAAATTTCGGGAATTGAAAAAAAATTTTGTTTTAAAATCTGTTTTAAATTAAATATAGTCTAAAGGTTTTATAACAGATAAAATTATAATTATATCCATTTACTTGTTATAAACCCTACAGGTTTAAAACAGACTTTAAAACAAAAAATATTGTTTCGTGCATAAATCTCAAAATCGTAAATTTGGCGTAAGTATTCGCCCTTTTGCAAAAATATTATTACTACAAACAATTTAAGTTTTTGTAGCAAAAACGACGTTGTTTAAAGGTAAAATTGATTTATTTACTTAAAAACACATATGTACTATATAGTAAATCAGTGACAGCAACATAAAACGTTCTTCTTAATTAATATATTTAATTAAATTATTTTTTCTATTTATGTGGACAATATAATATAAAACAAAACTTAGTTCCAAAATATGAAAATGTAAAACAATTGTACCTACAATATTATGGAATACATATAATTGAATATGTTGAAAAGTTTGCAGAACTTGTAATAACAATTTAATTTAAATGGTCACAAAAGAAGTCAATGAAATTTGGTGTTCCAATGTTGTGGTATAATTCAGGTATTCTTATTATTTTTATATTAAAACATGGATCCTCTATTCGTATTTTTAATTATATTGATTATATTTTGCATTTTTATCAATTTTTAGATGAACTCGTGTTACTGCCGGTTACAGCAGTGATTGTTTTTAAATAAAAATAAAATAGCGAATTTAATAATGTTTAGTTTAAGAAGAAAAATGCTATTTTTCTTAAAAAACAAGTTTTCTATACTAATAAATTAAAAATATTAAAAATTGCTTTCTAATATCACCTAGGGTATATTTTACAACAAACGGATGACAAAAATGGATTACTCACCTTCAAAAATAGTAAAAAATAGCAACAATTTTTTGATAGCGTCCTCTTCTATAGACCCTTATATATAAGGGTCTTTGATAAAAATTAACATCACAAATGGATTCCTCGATCAAATTGACAAAATTATTTTGAAAAATTAACATAGTTTTACTTATGTTTTTCCTACTATAGGGTGTCAAAAAATTTACCATCTTTAAATGCGTACAAAAAAAAACTGAGACGTGATATAAAAAAACCCTGATAGGGTTTTCTTGTGGAAAGTATTAACTTTCATTTGCTTTTGGTTTTATTCCATTCCCTTTCGCAAACCTTAATTTTGTATCACAGTGTAATTATAATTTTGCAGACAGAGTAAAAAAATCGAAAAAATTACTTTAACCTTAAATAACTTTTAAATCAGATAATTTATTAAAAAATCATCGGAAAGCTTTTTTGTACAGCGTTCAATTTCCTATAAAAATATGTGTCTTTTATTGCTGTATATTAACTGGCTCGGGAGAAAAAAATTTAAATGTAAAACTTGTCGAAACCCCATGTTATTTAAATGGAAAATGTATCGTCTTTGTGGAACGGTTTAATATGAATATTTTTTTTTATAATTTTTTTAATAATTTTTTTAGGTCATAAACTATAAATTTAGGGGGCGCTGCAAACAAAAAAAACTAAGTTTGTAAATAACGGACACCCTACTGTACACTACTAAAGGTTAGCATGCCTTCTCCTAGCAGATATTTTTCTAATTATAATTAAAAGTTATTTAAGGTTAAAGTAATTTTTTCGATTTTTTTACTCTGTCTGCAAAATTATAATTATAATTATAATTTTGCAGACAGAGTAAAAAAATCGAAAAAATTACTTTAACCTTAAATAACTTTTAAATCAGATAATTTATTAAAAAATCATAGGAAAGCTTTTTTGTATAGCGTTCAATTTCCTATAAAAATATGTGTCTTTTATTGCTGTATATTAACTGGCTCGGGAGAAAAAAATTTGAATGTAAAACTTGTCGAAACCCCATGTTATTTAAATGGAAAATGTATCGTCTTTGTGGAACGGTTTAATATGAATATCTTTTTTTATAATTTTTTTAATAATTTTTTTAGGTCATAAACTATAAATTTAGGGGGCGCTGCAAACAAAAAAAACTAAGTTTGTAAATAACGGACACCCTACTGTCCACTACTAAAGGTAGCTGTTCTGAGAGGTGATTTTTGGACTTTCTGTAAAACCTAATTTTTTTTTATATTTTTGTTAATTAGGTCATAACTAAAATTTTAAGAGCAAAATAAAAAAAATTTGACGGTTAATTTTGTTTTAATTGGATGTTTATTAAAAATATGTATGCACACTTTCAATTCTTCAATTAAAACTTGCGATTTTATTTAAATATTATCATAACTTTTTAAATCAGATTAAAAATTAGTTAATTTCCTAAAAAAAGGTCTATACATTTTTTATATCTTTTACTGTTTTGTTGTAATACACGTTTAAAGTTTTAATTTAAGGTTAAATGTATAGTATACATTTATTAAACAGTAATTCTAAGGGTGCCACAATTTATTTAGGGCCGATTTATTCATTTTTGATTTATTTGACGAATAATTTCTTTGGATACTAGATATTGCCAAGACATGAAAGTTATCGGCCCGATAAACTTTAAACCGGTCCTTAGTTAAATTTCATGAATTTCTTCGTAACTTTTACTACAATTTTTCATTTTTGTTTATAAAAAACACTTTAAAAAACTAAACAAAAATTATAGAATACGTAAACTGAAAATGACAATTCAAACATCAAATAAATTTTTAATAGATCTAAGTTTCATGGCAACCTTTAAGGATATATTAATTAACGGAATATAAATGTATACGTCAAAGGTTAGATTAAAAGTTTGAACGTTTATTGCAACAAAACAGTAAAATATATAAAAAAAAATTAAAAACCTTTTTTTAGTTATGCAAATATTAAATATTTAAATTAAATCGCTAGTTTTAATTGGATAATTGAAAGAGTGCATAATATTTTTAATAAACAGCCAATTAAAACAATTTAAACCGTCAAATTTTTTTTATTTTGCTCTTAAAATTTTAGTTATGACCTAATTAACAAGAATATAAAAAAAAATTAGGTTTCACAGAAAATCCAAAAATCACCTCTCAGAACAGCACCGTGGTTAGCATGCCTTCTCCTATCAGATATTTTTCTAATTATTTGTGGCTTACCGTTTTGTAAAACATGCATGATTGGCGGTCCTCGTCCTCCGCCATGGGACAGTCTACAAATCCGTCACAGAGTACGTGATCGTCTATACAATGGTATCTGCCCTGTCGGTCAGGGGTGGGACAGGCGAACCGTTCCATTCCATCGGGCGCTAGGGGACATTCTGAAATCGAAAAAAAATGACACATTAATTTGGTTTGCATTCCTTTTTGATGCTAAAATCATCCCAATTGGTACAAAGTTCCACTTTAAGTAAGGGTAGATTTAATTATGTGTTTCTTTATTCGAACATTTGTGCTAATGGTATTTTTAGAGCTTTATGTCTTAACAATTTTTAATTTAATTTTAGTCTTGTCGCTCTAAAATGTAACATAATAAATTAACGTTTTTATTCTGAAAATCTTTTTGTAGCAAATTAAATTTTCTATCAAAGTCTTGTTTTAAAGTAAATAATGTCCACTCTCTTAATATAAAATGTAATAGTCGAAATTCTACAGTACCAGTCGTTTTCACTTTTAAATAGTTATTTTTACTACTTAAATAGTCACCACCTTTTTAAGAGTAAAAAGTAACTTTTTTTTAAATTCTTGCAGCCAACAACAAATTAAAGTTAAATGCATGTAGGCTCCATAAAAACAAACAAAAAAGCAAAAAGTTTAGCTCAAAACAGCTACACAAAAAAGATATTTAACTTTAAAATAAAAGTAGAAGTGGTACGGTTAGACATCGCCAAGTTATCGCATTTTCAAGAAAAAATGACACACGTATCGATGTTTCTGTCGATTTTTCAAAAATTTCCTACGGGTAAATAAAACAAATTTAAGCAAAAAGAGAAAATACGGGTCTAACGATTGCGGTAAAAAAACTGTAAAAAAAAAATTGTTGAACAATAACGACCTACCCATTTTTGCATGGTCGATTTGGAATGGAAAGACTCCATGACAATTTGTCAAATATGATTTATATATATATATTATAATTAGTCATTTTTGACTAATTCATTTTAAAAGAGTACTTATCTAGATATAACCGTCTGAATGGAATTAGTACTTTACATTGGTTATCATAAAGGGTCAAAGGTCAAGAGACAAAGGTCAAAAGTAAAGAATGTAAACCTATTAAGATATAACAGTCTTAAAAATGTCAATTTAGGCCTTATATGACTCTCCCGACCTTGGTGATTAATGGACTCCTAACCTGTTTTTCACAGGGTTCTATAGATACCAAATGTGCAGCTAGACAAAAAGGCCGTATTACACCGCCTTACTCTATACATAGAACAACCGTTTAATTTTTTTGTTGCTTAGTCGTTCGCCTTTATTGCATCCAATTTTAGCCCAAACGGCTTACTAACACGATATAACGACGCACAAAAGGTATAACAAAGCCAAAATGGCAATTGAAAAAGCCGCTAGATGCCATGACGAAGAAAAATTACAAATTTGTTTTCTTTGTTAAGAAATAACAGCTTACTATATTAAAAATCCACATACGTATACCTAAGCACAAATTTCTTTGTACTGTTTTTTATTTTTAATTTAATTAAAGAATTGCGTCGGTGAACTATTTCAAAGGACACATCAAGTTTTATAACTGTGTTTTTAATTAAAAGAGCAAAATAGTAAAAATAGGCATTGGGTATAAAACCGATTAGTTTAAATTAATATTACACAGTGTGTGTACCAAAAAATTTTTTTTTTTTTAAATAAAGTTAATTTTTTTTATCTGGACTGCGGCAACGTTGCAAATTTAGGGGTTTGGTTGGTAAATACGGAACCAAAATTGGTTTCATTGATTAAAACAAACTAAACTAGTTATAGTAAATTTAAAAGTAAACTACGTACACGTCATCAATAAAACAAAAATTTTACGCATTGGTACCAACACTAAATGACTAAATCGAAGTCTGTAATTGAATATTTGAATGCATTTTAAGCATCTTCAGTTGGCAACAATTAAGATGTTGTCATATTTACATTCAAATATTTCATATTTAAATGACACATAAAAAAGAATTTGACGTTTTAGAATTTCGAAGCTGTCAGTTGTGTTTTTGAATATTTCGTTTAATTCGTGTATTATTTCGTTTATTTTGTTTTTTGTTTGTGTTATTTTATATCGTTTAAGTTTTCATTGCCGTTTTTGTGTTTGTTATATATCGTTTTTTTGTGTTTCCTATATTTAAAATGCCGAAGCATTTAAATAGTCGGAGTCAAGAGTTGGTGTCATCCTTAATACGCTATTTTGAGGCAGAACGGGATAATATATTATCCATTATAATGGACCTTTGTTAACTTTAACAGCTGTTAGAGAGGTAAATAGGATTATTATTAATTATATATTAGAATATTTAACAGAATATATGTTGGATACATAAAATAAGAATATATATACCAGAGACTGACTTTAGATGGCAAAATTTCTGAGTTTTATAGCTGAAAATGTCTTTAAAAATGGCTGAAACATACTTTTGGCGGTGCATCATATAGGTTATAAAAACTCAGACTTTTGACATTTTGGTATTATTCATGTAAACGCCATCTATCGCCCTGTAGTTGCACTACCACTTTCCCTTGATGCAAGGATTTTAGCATCACATTGACAACCGTGCCCGATCAGCTGATTGATGACGTGTACGTAGTTTACTTTTAAATTTACTATATAAATGTAATTATAATGTTATGTTTAAATTATTGTAGGTTACATTAAATGGTTTTCAGGTTGAGTTGTCAAAGTTCGTAGTTAAAAATGCAATTAATTTGGCTTTGGTAGTGCTTAGATGAGTAAAATCATATAAAAAAGTAGTTAAATATAGGTGACAACGGCCCAGGAGAAAAAAGTGTTCCTAGCGGATAATAATCTTCGCTTTAAAAAAAATTTATAAAGGGTGTTTTTTTAAGAACGATAGAACTTTAAACTTGAATAAAAACCACAATAATTAACTTTCGATAAAAAATCTGTTTTTATTTAAAAGATTTGGAGTGAGAATATTCTTAGGATTATGCTATATTTCTTTTAGGCATGTTCTTTAGAAGAAATATAGCATGTTCCTAAGAATATTCTCACTGGAAGGTTTAAAAAACATTCTTAGAACATGACTAGAAGAAATATAGCATGATCTCTAAGAATATTCCCACTGGAAGGTTTAAAAAACATTCTTAGAATAAACTGTGCTATCAGGGAAGATTTATTTTTTACAAAAGAGAAGTCAAATGGTTGTCCTTAACACTTTAAGGCTACATTTGAGGCTTACAAGTGCCTCTGCGTTTCCGTTTAAAACGATTTTTAATCTGTATAAACAGCACAAACGCAAAGCCCAAGAATTGTAAACTACATAAAAATGGCCGCCGTCGGAGTCTGTGCAGTGGGTTGCCTAACTTCGTGGTTTTTAGTTTGAGCGAAACGAGATATCTAGACCTTGTTGTGTGGATTGTGGTCAAAACTAAGTTTTGATTTGACTATCAAATTTTATTGAATGGTAACTCCTATGTTACAATGTAGGTAGTTCACGTACCTTAACCGTTGTTGCGAACTCGGCGATAAATTTAAAATCCATGTTACGTGGTTTATGTTTGGCTTTTACAGTCTATAACAGCATTATAATGCAGTGTAAAATAGTTACAAAGTTTTATACCGTTTTGTGCACATCTTCCATGAATATAAAATGGTTTTTCCTAAAAATATTTTATTTATTTATTTTATTTTTAACTTTTTAGTTTTCAAGACGTACGAACACTTTTTGCTAAGAAATATACTTTATTTATCCACACAAATCGTTTATTACTCCCATGGGGTGGAAAAATATAAGAGTTCGCTGAATTTTTTACCTCAGACTTGGGGTTTACAAAATTAAATTAAATGTTTTTTATTTTTCTTTAATTGATAAACGTTTATGTTTTTTCCACGTCAACAATGCAATATTAACTAAAAATAGATAAACTTATTTCTTAGGAATTATAGTAGGAGTTCACATCTGAATCTACCTAGGCCCTAGGTAGATTCAGATGTGAACTCCTACTATAATTCCTAGGGTAAAGTCACGCATAGGTGTGGAATCCATAATATACCGAGGTACTTGTTTGTATAACAAGCTACCGAAGGAGACAAGAGACTTAAAGGGCGACAAATTTAAACAACAAATATCCAAAAATGTAAAATACTATATTGATTAGCCTGTTATGTAACTTTTAATACAAATGTATTTATAACTGTGATAGATAATGTAATGTATTGTGATATGTAATGTATTGTTCAAACTATTTAGAGGTGTCTCTCTGTAAACATTTTAGTTTTTTTTTGTAAATATTTTAGTATATTACAAAACATCCAGTTTTTTTAACTTGTCCACCAAATTTTAATGTATTTTTTCAAAAGCACGTTTGTAGAAAACATAATAAATATTCAAAACATCAGTCCCTTGGCGTGTCACAACTCCTGAATCAAATATTTGAGTGATTTTATTTTAAAATATATTCAATTTATCTTAAATTTTTCACTTTCACTACAAACTATAAAACATTAAATAACGTATTTTTCACATTTTATCATAGATTCGAATAATAACAATTTTTAAAAAATTGATAATTATCATTGTACTCACTTTTACCCGTCAGTTCTGTGTCCAATGTTAAAATTCAAAATTCCTGCGAAATATTGAAGTTTAAACGTCAATTCCTTGTTTTATCTCAAGTGTTGGTATAAAAACTAGCTACAGAGCCCGCCCTTTGCACGACAGTCATCTTAAAAACAATACAAGCGGCGAAGTTGTGCTAAATGCACGTATAGTTCGAGTTTAAATTTCAGTACTGTGGTGAGTAGTTATTTTCTTACGTATATATATTTCATTGTAATTTATATAAGGCTATATGTGGTTTGTTGATAAGTAGCATCCACTAATAAAAAATATCAGTAAAATACTTAATTCCGAATTCCGATAATCTCAAATTTGTATCCCATTCATCAGTACCGTGTCGTCAGTTCCATGTTCGATGTTTCGGTTATCTTTTTTTCGCAAACTTCAATTTAAATTCTGCTTTCGTAGAACTTGTTTATTTAATGTCATTATAAACTCTTATAAATTTGGTGTGGGTCCCATATCTAATAATTGAGATATTGGTATACCCAAAATTCACCAGCCGCCACTTATTATTTGATTTTAAGATA